TGCTTGCCTTGAGCTGAGGAGCTCAGGGACAGCACTCAGGCCCAGAGTTCAGGCCCCACGACCGACCCCCGACCGCCCCCCCCCAAAAAAAAGTGAAAAACAACTAACATAGCAAAGAGCTAGAGGTGTGGCTTATTGGTGGAGCAGAGCCAGGGATCTGAATTCAAGCTCCAATATCACCAACCCTTGCAGAAGAAACAAACAAAAATCTGTGTTTTTCTGAGGACCTATCAGACCCTTTACTACAGTAGTGACACCATTTAACACTTCTACAGCAATGTGTGGTAAGTTTTAAGAATTATGACTTCTTTATGTATTTAGAAACAAGTCCCTCATCAAATATGTCACTTGCCATTTGTTTCCATTCTGTGGGTTGTCTTGTAACTCTCCAGATGGTGTGCACTTGAACAAATTAGCAAATTAGCAGGCCCTGGGGATAGGTCTTGTGGAAGAAAGCAGTAGTCTAACAAAGGGAGAAAATACTTATGACATACAAAAATCTTCCATAAAAACCTAAGTGGAGCAGGGCACTAGTGGCTCAGGCCTGTTATTCCAGGTGCTCAGGAGGTAGAGGTAGAGAGGATCACTGTATGAGGCCCACCTGCACATAGACCAGCTGCTTGCTTGAGGCTTGGGTATCCCTGCTTTCACTTTCTGGCAGGGGCAGATTACTAAGTTTGATCCCCAGAAATAGGAAAAAGTAACAACTGAGGGAAGCCTGAGCAGTTTGGGGCTTAAAGTGTGTAGTATGTTTGGGAAGAACTTTTTCACTCCAAGAATAAATGGTAGCCTGTTCTGGCTGCCCCATGCCCAACGTGCTGCTGTTGCCCATGAAGAAAAGGCTGGGAGCTGTTGGTGTCATCCTTAGGGCCTGCCTGAGAACAGGCTGGAGCTGGCATGTTGCCCATGGGCCAGGTGTGGCTCCTGGCCATAATCACAGCCCACAATCTGCCCCTGAAGGCAGGAAGTGAAAGCAGGGACACCCAAGCCTCAGGCAAGCAGCTGGTCTGTGTGCAGGCTACGAATCTGGCCCACCAGCTGCAATGTGATCTCCTCCACCATGCTCCCAATCTATAAATAGAACCCCAGTGGGAGCCAGGCCTGGCCAGGGGCCCAGACAGGCCTTGTAACATCCTCACCTTCAGGTCACATGCTCAGACATCCAGGGCTTTGCAGGGACTCTCAGACCTCCACGACTTGTATCAGTTTCTCTGCCCCCAACCCTACTGGTCTTCAGACCAGCAGCAGGCCTTAGGACGTATGGCCACTGCCCAGGGGGAACTTACTTAGAGCAGTTACACCTACTCATAGAAGGGAAGGGGAGGGGAGGGGAAACTACCCTGAGAGGCTGGGTGATACTAGTCAAGAGCAGAAATGGAATCACCCCCTCCCTGAGGCTTTCTTCTACTGCAAGCAGGACCCCAAGTGCCACAATCCTTCCCCAGGATGCTAAGTATGGGCTCAACACAGATAACACTCCAAGTCCGAGTCTGACCACCTTTTCTCACCCTGGTTTGGCTCCATGCTGTTTTGAACACGTTTCTTCAAGATCATCCAGTGTTGCATCTATCCTGTAGCCTGATCTGGCTTTGCTTTGGGAGCTGGCTTCAGCCCCACCTGGAAACGAGCCCCGAGCCCTGCCCACCTGTCCCGTGTCTGTCCTCTGTGGACAGATTTTATCCAACCCCTCCCACCACCTCACAAAATTTTTAAAGAAGTAGTCACTAATGCAGGATCTACCTACCCCTACTGATACTCCCAGAGCACTCAACAGTTACTTAGGGACTAAGACAGATACCAGACGTTGGTCCATGAGAGAACCCAGTTAGTACCATCCATCTACTGGCAAATGTGATCAGGCCTGTCAGGAAGCTCCTAGTGGTTCACTTCCTCCCCATCAAAGCAGGGCGATGTGTGTCTCCCTGCCTTTCCAGTGCCAAGTGTCTGGGCATCAAGTGTCCCTCTAGCCCAGCTCTCATCCCTGCTGCTAGGACAGAGGAACACAGGGAGGGGCCCCCTACTCCTCCACCCTTGACCTGCTGCTGGTGCAGAACATGGTTCCCTCCCACCTAGTAGCAGTAACCTGCCTACCCAGGGTTTATGATATGCCTAGCATGGTTTCAAAGTCTGCTTACTGAAACTATTTATCCATTTTATAACTGAGGAAACTGAGGCACAGACAGGTCACAGGTCACTCAACACAAGTCAGAATCAAGCCAGGCAGCCTGGATCCCTAAGGAAAACCCCTAGCCCAGCCCTCCCTATGTGGGAATTGTGGGGTGAGTCAAGAGGCCTCTTTTCAAAGTATACTTGATCACCTCTTACCCCAAATGAACCAAACAGGAAACACTTGCTCCTGTCTTTCAGGGAGGCCAAGTCCAGGAAGAGCAGGGTTGGAGGCATGGTTGGGCCTGCAGGTCTGTGCAGGTGTGACTTCCATCTGGGGACTCAGGAAACATGGGCCTGCAGAATTATCACAGTGATTGACAGCAGACCATCTCTGCTGCCCTGTGAGAGAGACACTGTGACATTTTAAATCACAACTTGAAAGATGGGAGAGGAAAGACAGGAACGGATGGTTAGAGCAGTCCCTTCCATACTGACTTCATATCTCAGCTGTGTTGTTCCTGTTCTGCATCTCTTCAAGGCATCAGTGTATAGCTCCCTGCTCTCTAGGTAGAACATAGGCTGGAGTCTCCTTCCTCCACTTGCCTCTGTGCCACCTGGAGCACGGTCCTCAGCCATCCTGACACTCAAGAGTGGTACTCGGCCAGGCAGGGTAGTATGATCTATAGTCCCAGCTACATGGGGGTGAGTCAGTTAAATCACTTGAGCCCAGAAGTTCAAGGGCAGTCTGCAACCCATTCTTTTTTTTTTTTTTTTATCCATGGGGCTTGAACTCTGGGCCTGGGCACTGTCCCTCAGCTCTTCAGCTCAAGGCTAGCGCCCTACCACTTGAGCCACAGCACCACTTCCAGTTTTCTGAGTGGTTTGTTGGAGATAAGAGTCTCATAGACTTTCCTGTCTGAGCTGGCTTTGAACCACGATCCTCAGATTTTAGCCTCCTGAATAGCTAGGATTACAGGCGTGAGCCACCAGCAACCAGCTGCAACCCACTCTTTTAAAAAAAGGAAGGGGGAAAGAGAGAGAGAGAGAGAGAGAAAGCAAGCTAACATGGTACCCAGTTCATGGACTCCCAAGAGGGCTATTACTCCAGGACTCAAGAAAGGCCTTTACAGCAGTACTTGGTCTGTATCCTATAAACAGGATTCGTTGCTCCCTTGTAAAAAAAAAAAAAAAAAAAAAAAAACTCCATGTCACAGTTTTTCAACCATTTAAGATCATATTCTTTTTTTTTTTTTTTTTGGGTCCGGTTGTGGGGCTTGATCTCTGGGCCTGGGCGCTGTCCCTCAGCTCTTCAGCTCAAGGCTAGCGCTCTACCACTTGAGCCACAGCCCCACTTCCGGCTTTTTTCGTTTTGCTTATGTGGTGCTGAGGAATTGAACCCAGGGCCTCAGGCATGCAAGGTAAGCGCTCTACCACTGAGCCACCTTCCCAGCCCTAAGATCATATTCTTTGTCATGGGGATGTCTACTGGCAAAGGTGGAAGCTGGAGCCTAGAGAGGCGTAGGGACCTGTTCAAGGACACACAACTGATGTATGCTAGAGCTGAGGCTTCATTTCTCAGTCCCCTGGCTCTACCCTGTGTTATAGCCCATCTTCCCCAACCGCCACTGTCCAGTGCTGACATGGTCTTAGGAGCTTCTCATGGAAATGTGGGGGGAAGGATCACGCAGTAGTGACAAGCCACTCCTGCTACCCAGCTAGTTTCAGAGACAGCCTTTTGACCATCCTACGCCAAGCCTGTGTGCGTTGTGCTCACAGTGATGATGCTCTTCCACACATAAAACACTCTAGGCTTACAAAGGAACCAACATGCAACACAGATACTGTTTATTTTCCTTAAAAGTGTTTTAACACTGTGTATGCTTCTTTAGTACTAGGCTGAATAACATGATCTAGTGACAGATCTGATATCTACCATAGCTTTCAGTTAGAGAAGTTTAAATACTATTGGGTGAATGCTTTTACGATGGAATCCCTTACCTGACTTTGGTCAGTGCGGTCACAAGTTCACAGGACTCACCAACACTACCATGATTTGTGCTCACTATTGTGCCTGAATAAAATCACCAGCATCAGATGGTGACAATTAAAATAGAATTTAACCATCTGGGTGTACTGCGGACCCCTGGCCCAAATCCATGGTGTCCTTCGTATCCACTGATATCATGTGCTCGCTGAAGGAGATCCCAAGGCACCCAAAATGCCTTGAAGTCCCATCACTGTCCCCCAGAACTGTCAGATACAATGCGCATTCATCCATTTGGTAGATATTGAACTCCACACCAGCAACAGACCCCAAGATGAAGAAACAGGTCAAGCAGGGCACCAGTGGCTCATGCCTATAATCCTAGCCACTCAGGAGGCTGAGATCTGGGGACTGGGGTTTGAAGCCAGCTCATGCAGGAAAGTTCATGAGATTCTTATCTCTAATGAGCAAAAAAGCCAGAAGTGGACATGTGGCAGAAGTGGTAGAGTGCTAGCCTTGAGCAAAAGAGCTCAAGGACAGCATGTAGGTCCAGAGTTCAAACCCACTTTGGGCACACATACACACATACATACATACATACATACATAAATACCCTACAAGCTGGGTTGCATGGTCATTCCACATTGCATAACTCTTCTGAAAAGAATCAGGACAGAAATCCCATCCCCTTTCCTAGCACTCAAGCCTATTGATCCCAAGGCAGGACTTGGTGATGGGCAACAGTCCTTCCCCCACCCCTTGCTGAGTCTCTGTCCTCCATGGGATGGGGAGCACTCAGAACACCTGCAGGGCTGAGGTCTGGCCATGCACATTGAACAAAAGGAGGAGGTGGCAAGCAGAGAATCCGGGAGTCCTCCAATAACCAGTCTTCTGTCTTCTCTTGCAGCCACCAAAATGTCAGGGGAGATGGACAAGCCCCTGATTAGTCGCTGCCTGATAGACAGTGATGGAAGCCTTGCGGAGGCCCCCAGTGGGGCCCCCAAAGTGGGCATCCTGGGCAGCGGGGATTTTGCCCGCTCCCTGGCCACACGTCTGGTGGGCTCCGGCTTCAGTGTAGTGGTGGGAAGCCGCAACCCCAAACGTACGGCTGGGCTCTTCCCTGCCTCTGCGCAGGTAACTTTCCAGGAGGAGGCAGTGAGCTCCCCGGAAGTCATCTTCGTGGCAGTGTTCCGGGAGCACTACTCCACGCTGTGCAGTCTCAGTGACCTGCTAGCCGGCAAGATCCTGGTGGATGTGAGCAATCCCACAGAGCAGGAGCACCTTCGGCACCGCGAGTCTAATGCTGAGTTCCTGGCCTCGCTCTTCCCCACCTGCACAGTGGTCAAGGCCTTCAATGTCATCTCTGCCTGGACCCTACAGGCTGGCCCGAGGGATGGAAACAGGCAGGTAGGTTCATAAGAAGTTCATAACAGTTCTCTTTATAATAAATATGTGGCTCATTTTTCTCATAAGCTAGCAGCATGCCAACTTTTTCTATATAGTCTGAGATAATCTCATAGCTGGAAAAAAAATCTATTTTACATGGCAGGAGACGCCTAGGAATATTAGTGATCTTACAGACCCTCAGTTGGTAAGCCGGGATTTGAACCTTAATCCTATGAATTAGAAATCCATGTTCTTTCTGCCTTGATACCCGGGCTTCCTAAAAGGTAATAGCTCTATACTGTAGTTTGGTTTTTTGTGTTGGTCCTAGGGCTTGAACTTGGTCGGGGTACTGTCCCTGAGCATTTTTGTTCCACACTAGTGCTATCCCACTTGAGCCACAACTCCACTTACAGCTTTTTTTGATACTTAACTGGAGATAAGACTGCCTCATGGACTTCCTGCCTAAGCTGATGTAGAACGGTGATCCTCAAATCTCAGCCTCCTGAGTAGCTAGGTTTACAATCATGAGCCACCAGTGTCTGGCCTTTTTGCTGTTTCAAGTCAAGAAGGAGACGTGGCTTATAAAATCAGACTCAGAAAGAGGACAGTAATACACTTCTGTGCCAGTCCGGAGGGAGACAGGCATGTCCCAGACCTCATCACATTTATGACAAGGGCTTCTAAGAACCTAGTAATTTTCTCAGAATGGCCAACAGAGGCTGGAAAATGGCTCTATAGAACAGCCAGACCTGCATATGTATCAAGAAACATGTGAGATGGGCTGGGAAGGAAGCTTAGTGGTAGAGTGCTTACCTAGCATGCATGAAGTCCTGTGTTCGATTCCTCAGTATCACATAAACAGAAAAGGCTGGAAGAGGTGCTGTGGCTCAGGTCTAGCCTTAAGCAAAAGAAGCTTGGGACAGCACCCAGGCCCTGAGTTCAAGCCCCAGGACTGGCAAAAAAGAAAAAAAGGAAGAGGTCTAACTAGGACAAGGTGGTTTTTAATGCTAAAAATCCACCTGCCTCTTCCCTGGGGCAAAAATACATAATTCCACACGTATGGAAGAATGTCTACCAACCAGTCCAGCCAAGTACCAGCTGTGAGGAAGAGTGCAGAGGTGTAGGTATAAGGTGCAGGCCTGCAGGGAGTGGTGCAAGCTGGCTGGCTGGGGAAGGCCTTAAGATGGGTTTGGGCTTGGGTTTACCTTATGTTCTGTTTGTTTGTTTTTGTCGGTCAGGGGGCTTGAACTCTGGGCCTGGGCGCTATCCCTGAGCTCTTCAGCTCAAGGTAAGCATTCTACCACTTAAGCCACAGTTCCACTTCCAGTTTTCTGGTGGTTAATTGGAGATAAGAATCTCATGGGGCCGGGCGCCGGTGGCTCACGCCTGTACTCCTAGCTACTCAGGAGGCTGAGATCTGAGGATCGCGGTTCAAAGCCAGCCCTGGCAGGAAAGACCGTGAGACTCCTATCTCCAATAAAAACCACTAGAAAACCGGAAGTGGCACTGTAGCTCAAGTGGTAGAGCGCTCGCCTTGAGCTGAATTGCTGAGGGACAGCGCCCAGGCCCAGAGTTCAAGCCCCATGACGGACAAAAAAAAAAAAAATCTCATGGACTTTCCTGTCCAGGCTGGCTTTGGACTGTGATCCTCAGATCTCAGCCTCCTGAGTAGATAAGATTACATGCGTGAGCCACCGCTGCTTGGCTACCTTATGTTCTTAGATCAGGGAACAAGGAAGGTATTCAAGGCTGTGGGCACAACAGTGCAAGGGCAGTAAGGTAAGAAACAAGGCTCCCAGACCCTAGTTTCTTTATCTGGGAAATGAGGACAAGAGTCCCTACCTGAGGCCTTAAGGCAGCTAAGGAATCGTGTATGTAAAACCTAGCACAGACTAGGTTCTTAGTGAATGTTTAGGAGCTGGACTGGATCCCATCTGTGCCAGCAAAATTGGTGAGATCTTCAGGACCTCCAGATACCATCATGCCCTCAGAGGTTGCTCTGGAGGAGCAGACATGGGTTGGCTTGAAGAAAGCTTGTGTGCCGAAGTCCCCATGGAACTGAGGGCCATCACTAATAAGGACACTTCTGTGCAGAGAGATGCACAGTCTGGACCACATGCAAAATCCTCTCCTAGGGTAAGCCCCATCTTGGGAGGTAGCTGTTCTAGGACCCAAGGAGGCTACATGGCCAGGCACTCTCTTGTGTCTGTTAAGTGAGTGCGCTATGCAAGACATTCACTGTGACTAGCATCTCTCCTTGAGTGGTGGGGCTTGTCTTGGAAGCCCCAGAGAAAACTGGACAGACCCCTGGCCTGGGACTTGTAGCCACTTTATGTCCCCCGTGTACTATTAACTGCTAGCTCCTTGGACAAGTCCCCTTATGTACCTCAATTTCTTTAGCTTCTCCGTGGCTCTTTGGCTTGATGGTTGCTGAGGCCCTGCCTGCCCCTGTGGCCCATGTATCCATCTGATTGTCCTTCTCCCCATAGGTGCCCATCTGCAGTGACCAACAAGAAGCCAAGCATATAGTATCAGAGATGGTGCGTGCCATGGGCTTTATGCCAGTGGACATGGGCCCCCTGACCTCAGCCCGGGAGGTGGAGGCCATGCCCCTGCGCCTCCTCCCAGGCTGGAAGGTGCCCACACTCCTGGCACTGGGGCTCTTTGTCTGTTTCTACGCCTACAACTTCATCCGGGATGTGCTGCAGCCCTATGTGCAGGAAGGCAAGAACAAGTTCTACAAGTTGCCGGTATCCGTGGTCAACACCACACTGCCCTGCGTGGCCTATGTGCTGCTGTCACTGGTGTACCTGCCTGGCGTGCTGGCCGCCACCCTGCAGCTGCAGTGGGGCACTAAGTACCGCCGCTTCCCTGACTGGCTGGACCACTGGCTACAGCACCGCAAGCAGATCGGGCTGCTCAGCTTCTTCTGTGCTGCGCTGCACGCACTCTACAGCTTCTGCCTGCCACTGCGCCGCTCCCACCGCTACGAACTGATCAATATGGCCGTCAAGCAGGTACTCAGTTCGTGCTGTGGCCCCCACCAGGTGCACAGGACAGACAGTGGCCAAGGGCGCTGTTCCAGCTGGACAGTGCCCACATCTTCCTGGCAGCAAACAGAGCAGATGAAAATCCCCCCGCTGCCTAGGTCTAGACTTGAACCAGAAAAACAAAAAGAAAAGAAAAGCAGACAGAGGGCCACAGGTATCCAGGATCAAAGAGCAGGGAGCAGCCAGGCCCCTGCGGCTCACACCTGAAATTCTAGCTAAGATCTGAGGAGTGGGGCTCCTAGCTAGCCCCAGTGGGAAAGTCTATGAGACTCTTATCTCCAATAAACTACCAAAAAGCTGGAAGTGGAGATATGTCTCAAGTAGGAGAGCATCAGCCTTGAGAAAAAAATGCTAAGGGACAGTGCCAGGGCCGTGAGTACAAAAATCAATAAACCAACAAAAATCAGGAGGGCAGGATGCAGTTTTGTTTTCTGTTGGTTAGTTTTGCAATACTGAGATTATTAACCATCAAGGCCTTGCTAGGCAAGTACTCTATCATGTGAGCCATACCCCAGTCCTTTTGCTTTTAGCTTATTTTTCAGATATGGTCTCCCACCTTTTTTTTCCTTGGCCTCAAGCTAAAGCCCCCAACCACTAGTTCCTGAGTATCTGGGGCTACAGTCGTGAGCTACAGTCATGGGCTGCATGCTCAGCCCAGGGTGGGGTTTTAAAGGAATCAGGGAGGCCTAATGAATAATGCTGTGTGAGCAGAGATATAAAGCAGGTGAGAGCCTCATTGGTGGCCAACTAGAGGTGTCACAGTCTGACAAGGCCACAAGAGCAGAGTCCTCAAATAGAAGCAGGCCTGGCAGATTTGAAGGACAACTAAGAGGCATGTGGGGCTGAAGATCAGGGAGCAAGTAGAAGTTGAGACCTTAAAGGCTAAGGGAGGAGGGCTTTGGCTTTAGGCCCTGAGGGACTCAGGCAGTCACTGAAGGATTCTGATGGGGGGGACTAAGGGCCTTCCTGATCACTGGCTTGCTTTTGCTGCCTGGCCCAGAACAGCCAAAGGGCCAAAGGCAGACACTGCTGTGCTGACCCCACACTCAGTGCAGTGGAATCAGGGAGTGGGATGGGAACTGTGGAGGACATAAAGTATTGAAGGCATAGTTTGAAGCAAGAGAATGTAGAGCTACTGAAGTAATGAAGGTGAGGTTCACTGGTAGAGATGAAGCTAGTCAAGGGCGGCTCTGGGGGCTGAGTCTGAGCACCCCAAAAGTAGCTATGCCAACAGTCAACACAGGGAAGGCTACAGGAGTGAGTGGTTTTGTTTGGAGGTGGGGGGGATTATTACTATTCATTTAGAATAGATATGATGTCCTTCTACCTGTGACTCATGGGGAATGAGGCTTTTAGGCCAAGCCAGGTGGGAGGTGGTATATACAGAACAGACCTCACAAGCCTCCTGGGTTTTTTGTTTGTTTGTTTTTTGGGGGGTATTTTATCTGTGGTGGGGCCTGAACTCTGGGCCTGGGCGCTGTCCCTCATCTCTTCAGCTTAAGGCTAGCGCTCTACCACTTGAGCCACAGCGCCACTTCTGGCTTTTTCTGCTATGTGCTGCTGAGGAATCGAACCCAGGGCCTTATACATGCAAGGCAAGCATTCTACCACTGAGCCACCTTCCCAGCCCAAGCCTCCTGGTTTTTAGCTCACAGTTGAGGATTCATTCTTAGTCTCAGCAGCACTGAAAGCAATGTTGTACCTATCTTTCTTTCCTCACTTTGCTCCTTCCTACCAAGTTACACCTTTAGCCCTAGGTTGATTGACTGTGGATCCTGTCTACACCACAGCACTACTTGCCCAGCAGGGTTGGGTAAGATATGTGTCATCCCCCTTTGTCCCAGCTGAGACCCTGCAGCTCCTTATCCTGCTCATGATGTAGGGACCCTGATGAGGCCAGGCCCACCACCAAGAAGCCCAGCATGGAGCCACTCCTCCTTCCTCAGAGGAGGAAGCAAGGTCAGCTACTGCCTAGGAACCACATACCTCAGCCTCCACTCACTCTTGATGCTCCTACTTCCCCACTGGCAGCTTCTCAAAAGCCCTTATGTCCCACCCTCGGACACCTGATACCATCCCTAGTGGCCCAGACTTTCTGAGAAAGCAAGAACCTCCGGCTTCAGGCATAGAAGCAAGATGCTTGCAGAAAGTAAAGGGAAAAAAGTAATAGTTACAAAGCTCATAAGAAAGCTTACTGAGGGGCTGGGAAGGTGGCTCAGTGGTAGAGCGCTTGTCTTGCATGCATGAGGCCCTGGGTTCGATTCCTCAGCACCACATAAGCAAAAAGAAAAAAGCCAGAAGTGGCGCTGTGGCTCAAGTGGTAGAGCGCTAGCCTTGAGCTGAAGAGCTGAGGGACAGCACCCAGGCCCAGAGTTCAGACCCCACGACCGGACCCAAAAAGAAAAAAGAAAGAAAGCTTACTGAGCCAGGGGCCGGTGGCTCATGTCTGTAATCCTAGCAACTCAGAAGGCTGAGATCTAAGGATCGCGGTTCAAAGCCAGCCTGAGCAGGAAAGTCTGTGAGACTTATCTTCAATAAACCACCAGAAAACTGGGGTGCTGTGGCTCAAGTGGTAGAGCACTCACCTTGAGCTGAAGGGCTGAGGGACAGCACCAAGGCCCAGAGTTCAAGCCCCATGACCAACCAAAAAAAAAGAAAGAAAAAAGGAAAGAAAGCTTGCTGTTCTGAGTTTTATATTTCTTCTATAAGTTCATTTCTTCTCTATCTTGTTCCTGTAAGGCAAGAGCTATACTACCCTTAATATATAGATGAGAAAATTGAAGCAGAGAAAGGTTAAGAAACTTAACTGAAGTCACAAAGCCAATCAACAGTAGAGGTAGGACTCAGAACCAGCCACTCCATTCCAGATCCATGCTCATATCCATCCTGCTTCCTACAGGAAAACAGAGCCAAGTTAGCAGCTAGGTAGAAGATCTCAGACTCTTCATCCATCCATCCATCCATCCATCCATCCATTCACTTACTCATTCAATGAGCACCTGCTCTGACAGGTTTTATTCTGGTTGTGGGGCTTGAACTGAGGGCCTGGGCACTCCTGAGCTCTTTTGCTCACAGATAATGATCTACTACTTTGAGCCATAGCCCCACTTCCAGTTTTGAGTAGTTAATTGAAAACAAGAGTCTCATGGGGCTTTTTCTCCCCAGGCTGGCTTCAAACCATGATCTTCAGATCTCAGCCTCCTGAGTAGCTAAGATGATAGGTATGAGCCACTAGTATGCAGCACTAACATTTTTAATATTTTTTCATGCATCTTTAAAAAGAGCCAGCCTAGCCATCAAGAATCTCTTTGTGGCTCTTGTAAGGGGGAGGGGGCATGTCATCATTGTCAACTGGACAAGGCAGATCTGAGTGTGACCTCCACCGTCCCCCAGGGCACAGGGCAAACCACTGCTTTGTCCAAATTTGGATACCAACTTCCTTTCCCTAAGGTCCCTGCCCAACTCACACCCTCCTCAGTATGACATTAGCCCAATTTTGCCTTGATGCCAATACCAAAGCCCAGAAGGTACAAACAAGGCAATTTTCCCTGAATCTCAAAGCCCTCTAAGGGATGGAAGTTGCCAGGCAACCATCTTTTATAAGAGGTCACTATCAGAGATCCAGAAGGCCAGTGACTAGAAGGGCTTAACTGTTCTGCAGAGTTCTCGAGGGTGGAACCAGATAGATGGAATATGTCTGGATGTCTGGAGTTGTAGTAGAGGGAGGCTGGGACTTGACACATAGCCACCAGGAAGTGGTGAACTGTACAACACTGGAAGAGTTTAGCAGGTAGAACACATCAGCCTAAGGCTTGGATCCTAAGCCTGGGTGCCTGCCTCTAGTCCCTGATAGCAGGGCTTTCTCCATGGCTCCTACCTGCTGGGTGTCTGCCCCTGCCCACCCTTGGCTGCATTTCCACAGTGCCTCTCTGAGGCAGATCCTTGGAAAAACCATGGGTAAAGGGAGGGCCTTAGCCTGGGTATAGGAATTGTCCCCAAGATTCCCTTTAAGCCCCTAAATACAGATCAGGCAGCAAGGCTGCGCCCCAGGATAGAGAAGATTTTGAGACTGTGTTTGTGGGCAGTGTTATTAACAATAACTAATTTTATATAGTTTTTTTTTTTCTAATTTGCTGGTGCAGCTCCCCAGAGATGCATTTCCAGATCAAAATCAGGAATCAAGATGAAAGACAATGGGCTGTGCACACTTTTCCCTCTTCCCAAAGCTAATCTGCATGTGGCTCTCAGATCATTCCAAACCTCCTCTAACCACATCACAGCACTGCTGAGAAGCAGCCGGTGACCCCTCTGACCTTGGGATAATGATCAGCTCCTCACAGTGCAGCCGCACTCCCTCCACTGCCTCCTCACCCTATTCTCTCATGCCATGTCACACCACATTGTCCTCTGCACATTCCTCCTGGCTTGGAAAACCCATCTGGGAACACCTCTACAGTCCAGCAAATTCCTAGCCCTCCCGTAAAACCCTAACTGTCCCCCTACTTCTCCATTCACACCTGCCATCTGCTGTATTTTATATAGACGTCCCTCATTTTCTTACACACAACCTCTTTCAACACCGTGAGTTCTGTCCTTCTTTTTTTGCTTACGTGGTGCTGGGGAATCGAACCCAGGGCCTCATGCATGCAAGGCAAGCACTCTACCACTGAGCCACCTTCCCAGCCCTTAGTTCTGTCCTTCTTTACCCTAGTGCAGGTTCACTGAGTGTCTGTGAAATTGGCCACTTGGGTTTGAGAGATAGTAGGCGCTACGCTCTGCCTCGACAGACGAAAGACCCACTAAAGAGACTTGAAGAGGAATAACACTGTCATCTCCATGTCCTCCTACCCCTGAGTCCTGTTGTATCTAATCCAACACCAGAAGGGAGAGGTAGTCCCACATCCATCCCTGGCTCACAGCCCTCACTGGGCAGTCTCAGATGACTGAAGCACTAAAAATCCTGTGTCCACCACCCTTTGGTCAGCTATATGAGTGGGGGTGTTCCCCAAGGTTGGAGAGCAACTGGCCATGGGCAGCACTGGCTAGCACTTGTGGACTGTGAGATGACACAGAGTGGCACAGGATATTCAAAGAAGCCACAATGCAGATCCCTGGACAACTTCTCCACCATCACTATTTCCCCTCACCCCTTTCTCTTTCCAGTCGCATTGAGGCTGTAAGTATCAGGAACAAATGAGGAATGTTGCAAGCCCCCGTGGTCCTTGTGTGCAGATTTGCAGGGCCTGACTAGTGACTTCAACTGCCTGCTCTGAGCAAAAATGGAGCGAGTGAATAATAAAGTGGGGTTGCAGACAAACAGGAGACATGATAGACTGACAGTACCACAAGTGAGTCAGCCAGGCCCACACACAAGCCCAGAGTTTTAGGTGTAACCTCATGCAGATGTCTCAGGCAGAGAAACTGAGGCCTGAAACCAGTTTCCCATAATCTTCCGTAGTAGTGGTCAGGATAAGCAGGGTCACCAGACTCCTGACCCTTCCAGTAGGAGCCTACCTTCCCTCAAATACTACAAAGACCCACCCTTTTCCCCACACAGGCAGAGGGCCTAGTGAGTGGCATTTTCTGGGTTTCTTTAAACTTTCTCTCATGAGGTGTTCAGCCACTTTTGCTCAGCCCCCGGAGTCATTTTTAATAATTTTTTTCTGGTAACCGGGCTTATATTTCATTTTCTGCTGAAGTAGTGTCTCAAAAAACCTGTATGAGTCATTCTGTTTTGAGAGGCAGCTGGCTCACACACAGGCCCATCTTCTCGTGAAAGAATCCTCGCTTGTTCTCTGGTAGAATTAATGCACTAGTGTTTCAGGGGGCTTCTCAGAACACCCTGACTTCCAGGAACCCAGCTTCCTGGTGAGTTAAGAAATGGAAAGACCTCAATATGCTTGTATGCTTCCAGTTGGTATGAGCAGAGGCTAACAGAGAGGTTCAGCTGCAGGCTCAGTCTAGGTAGGAGGAGGTGGGGTGATTTTGAAGCCTGCAGAGGGTCCCTAGAGTTAGTAGGTACCCCAGGGCAACTGAGAACAGGTACTGTGCTTCGCTGCTCAGGGTTCAGCACACAGTAGGTGTCCTTCAATGTCCTGGAGAAAGGACATCAGTCTCTGTTGCCTGGTAGCCATCAAGCCCAAACTATATTCTACAGATGGAAATGGATGAGTGGGTAGGAAAATGAGATTCGGGAGCTTTGAGATGGATGTTGGAAGATCAGTATCTGTGTATATCTGTGTGGAGAGACAGATAGACAAAGAGAGACAGAGAAGGTAAGTGAAGGACCATAAAGACAGGGGTTGAGGGTGAGGCAAGCTGGGAGGAGAGGCAGCCCATGAAGGTGTGGCCCCATATGGTTTAGGGTTTCAGAGATGGGACTGTACCTCTCTGCTCTCCTGCAGCTTGGGGACTAGCAACCTTTGTGATACAGTCTTGAGTGGAGAGTCTGTACTGTCAATTACTCTGACCCTTTGCTCTTGACTGATGAAACCCTTCTGATTGGCTGGTCCCCCCAGGCAGATGTATGAGAGCCTCACAGATCCTGGGGGAAGTGACTTGATCTATGTGCCCCCATTTCTCTCATCTGTAAAATGGGTTAACAGCTGGGCAGTGACTGGAAGACAGCAAGCATGTGTCAGATGTCTGTGAGGTACGTGTAAAGCTGTGGCTGCCTCTCTCCTGTCCGTTAAGGCTCACCCCCTCATCTCCCAGGATACTGGCATTTGCCATGGTGGTCATGGCTTTTCTTGTATCTGCATTAGGTTTTGGCCAACAAGAGCCACCTGTGGGTAGAGGAGGAGGTCTGGCGAATGGAGATCTACCTGTCGTTGGGAGTGCTGGCCCTTGGCACACTGTCCCTGCTGGCTGTCACCTCGCTGCCATCCATTGCAAACTCACTGAACTGGAGGGAGTTCAGCTTCGTGCAGGTAAAACAGGCCCCCCGGAGAGCTGGCCACATCTCAGGTGTGGCCCTCCTGTCCAGTACTGGGCTTTTCTCTCCAAAAAATACCTGAGCATGGTTCACAGACACAGCAGAGTTGCCCAGTTAAGTGCCAGGGCCTTCTCGCCCAAGCGGGTCTCCTCAGCTTCTGACACAGGACTGCCTGCTTCAAGCTCAACTTCCTGAGCTCTCTGAATTTTAGGAAGCTAGATAGAGGCGGTGATAAGACCAGAAGAGGGGATCCCAGGTAAAGCCACCCCCCAATTATTATAGTCCTTGAGTCTTTGAACATGTCTTGCTGCTGAGCAAGCCTGTACATCTTGTGGATTTAAGTGGGAGTCAGAAACGTGTGAGCCCCACCCACTGCATCCTCAGTGCCATAGGCTCTGCGTCCTGCAGAGTAGCTGGGAGGGGAGCCCTTTGTAAGAGATGCTTGTTTCCCAGAGAATTTCGTTCCTAGGAAAGATCAAAAGAGTTCTGGGGTCTGAGAAGTAGCTCAGTGGTAGAGTATTTGCTCTACCCCCAGAACTGGGGTGGGGGTGGGGGAGTCTGCCATCAAATAAATTAGGGGAAATCTTGGTACATCACAGATAAGCAAGGTCTATAATCCTAGATACTCAAGAGGCTGAGATCTGAGGATCACAGGTCAGCCCAGGCCCCCTCCCCCCTCCAAAAAAGTCTGTGAGGCTCTAATATTCAATTAAACCAGTAAAAAGCAAGAAATGGAACTGTGGCTCAAGTGGTAGAAAGCTAGCCTTGAGGGAAAATGCTAAGGGACAGCACCTGTATATCACACAAACCCCTCTTAACCAGGCTTCTTTGAGCTTTAGCATCTGTCTCTCAGCTAACAGCCACCAACACTGCAGAAAACATTTGTAAAAGATCTCTATGCAGTTGTTCATGCGGTTGGCATGTACTAAGCATGTACTGCAGGCCTGGCATTGTGGGACACCTGGGATGCCCTGAGCCTTGTTTCTGTGATAATGGAGACAACTGATAACAACCAGGATATTTCTTAGACTTTCTTCCCGCTGTTCTTCATCTTGTACTTGGTGGGATAACATCTCTCTTCCCATGGATGGAGCTGACCAATGCTAGCTCCTGACTGATTGTATCAGGACTCCAAACAGCCAAAACAGCCCTCATATCTACCCCCTCTGTCACCAGGAATCTATAGAGTTATCTTCTCTGTGGTGAAGGCTCAGAGGCAGTGACTATGCACTGTTCTTATATAACTTTAGTTAATTATTTGTGACTGGGGACCCTTAGCTGTATCTTAGAACTAAACAGTCGTGGTTGTTTTTAAAGTGTGTCTGTGAATCTTGAGGCTAGCTTATCTCAGAAGTCCCTAGAGGAGGGCTCAGGCTGCCATTCATTGGCCTAAGAAGGAAGGGGAAAAGGAATTTTATTGCTTTGCCACTAATCCCATGTTTTGCACACCCAAATCTAGGGTTTTCTAGTTCCTGCCTGGAGTATTCAGGGTACACGGTTTGTCCACAATTAAAACAGCCTGCAGGCTGCTCCTCTCACCAGAAAGTTGCGCCCTTAAGCAGACACAGATTACAAGCCCCAGTTCTGGCTGCTGGAGAAAGCCTGTGGATTTGATTTTGTTAGTGAAAGCTGCCTAGGACCCCAAAAGCTGCACTCTGCTTTACATATTGAAGAGTAGAGATAAAAATATAAAAGTCCTTCTGCCACTGCAGGAGCCAGAGAGGGAGCTGGGCAGGTAGAAAGGCAGGCTTTTATTTGTGGAAATCAAATACCTACATTTAATTTACATATCCTACTGTTCTGTCTCCCAACAGTGCCAACAGACAGGAGGCACTGCCAACTCTGGAAACCCAGCTTCTAGCTCTGCTTCCCCAGGTCCCTATCCATAACCATGGGCAGATTGTGTCCAACCCAAGCCTTAGTTTCCACAGCTGAAAAATGGACCAAATGTTTTACCAGGACTTTTAACATTTGTTCTTGTCCACATTTTTCAAAAATTAGCATCAATTAGTTGTATAAGAGAATTTCATTTTGCATGCCCATCCATGCATATAATGCACTTTGATCAAATTCATCCTCCATCACTTTAATCCTACAGGCATTTTTGTAAGCAACAGTGAGGACCTGTGGGTAATAAAAATAGAACGTGTTTTTCTATTCTTGGAGTAGCTGGTCATATTTCTACTCTCCCTGACTATGCTACCAGTCATACTTTTTTATCTAACCACATATTTTGTTTTGTTCTGTTGTTGTTTTGTTTTGTTTCCTTTCTTTTTGTTTTTGTTTTTTGGTCAGTCATAGGGCTTGAACTCTGGGCCTGAATGCTGTTCCTCAGCTCTTCAGCTCAAGGCTAGTGCTCTACCACTTGAACCACTGCGCCACTTCTGGTTTTCTGAGTGGTTTATTGGAGATAAGAGTCTCATAGACTTTCTTGCCTGGACTGGCTTTGAACCATGATCCTTAGAAGCTAGGATTACAGGCGTAAGCCACCGGCACCTGGCTTCCTTTGTTTTTTTGAGGTAGGGATCTTATATTATCTAGGTTGGTTTCAAACTCCTAGGTCCAAGTGATTCTCTTTCTTCAGCTTCCTGAGTAACTAGGAGTATAGATGCAAGTCACTGAACCTGGCTCCCACCATCCATGTCTGAAATGAGTAGAAGGTAGAAAGAAGCCAAGAGACTCTAACTCTAAGCATCAGAGTGGTTCAGGTCAGAGTTTATAAACTACAGCATACATTCTCATGGTGGGTTGTACCTAACATATTTAAAAATAGGATAGCAAAGAAACCACCAGAGTACCTTAGATGGTATAAGGGTAGATATGCGTTCTCTTATATTGATCTGACACGTATGTGTCAGTGTGGTGTGCCTGTTATCCACCGGACATTTGCAATGTATCATGTAACACACATTTCTAACTGTGCGCTGACATCCAAAAAGGTTTAAAGGCCAGGTGCTGGTATGCCTGTACTCCTAGCTACTCAGAAGGCTGAGATCTGAGAATTATGGTTGAAACCCAGCATGGGCAGGAAAGTCTGTAAGACTCTTATCTCCAATTAATCACCAAAAAGCCAGAATTTTTTTGCCTTAAGCAAAAAAGCTCAGGGAAGTGGCCCTGCCCTGAGTTCAAGCCCCAGAACCTGCACCAAGAAAAAAAAAAATTACAGCCAAAGATTTGGTACCAATATACTCTACCTATGAACTCAGATGATTCTAGAAGTCAGGTAGGTGCACTGCTGCACTGCTGGTGCCCTCCTGTGGTGGGAGCACAGACGAGGAGCTGGCAGACCCTTCACCAGGCCCAGACCCTTCACCAGCCCTGCCATAGGAAATCAGGTCAGCCTCCAGAAGCTTCTGTTCCTACCTGCCGCTGCATCCACTCACTGTCACCTCAAGGATGTGTGCTGTGCCAGCCTTGCACACCCCCGAGTGCCAAGGAGAGTTTTGAAGGAAACTGTGTCCTCCCTTGCCACCCACAATCACATAGCCCAAGCTTAGAAAACCGAGATGGCTCCTGGGCTGATGGAGTCTGCATGTTTAATTCAGTGGGGAGCCATCGGACCACTGTCTTGATTCCTCAGAGAGATGACCCTGCTTACATCTAGCCTTTGGCTTTTGAGGAGCTTTTCAAAGTTTGAAATTTTGGTTTGTGTTTCTTCGGGTATTTTTGTTCAATTTCTATGCTAAATGCTCCTGATGCCATCCAGGAATATGGAATTGTTTTTTCTCTTATTAAAGAGCTGAGAGGCAAGAAAGTGTTTAAGTTAAACAGAGCAAGTTTATTTGAAAGTGAAAGGAAAGTAGCAAGGCCCTCCATTCAGAGAGGGGGCCTCAAAGAAGAACCCAATGAATGGTGGTTATGACAGTATGGGGCTCCTCACATATCTCCTCTCCTGGGCTTTGTGTTCATTGCTGGATGGCCTGTGTGTATGCCACCTTGGCTCTTTCCAGGCATGAGCAGGCACCAGGGCATAATGAGAAGAAGAAGTGTGTATTGTAGGAAACATAATGCATAGTAGGAAGAAGAAGCATTTGAGCAGGAGCCTATGGGAACAAGAAGCTCCATGACAGGCCACATGTTATCTGCCACATATTATGTCCACTACTTTTTATGACTGTCTATCTAACAGTTCCCCTTTCTTTCATTCACTCCCAATTCAGCCAGTAGAACATTAAATTGCAAAATTCCCAGATGACAAAGCTCACTTGCACAGAAAAACTAAGGCCTTTTCAAAAAGAAAAAAAAAAAAAGAGCTTCTTCTAGCCCAGCGCTGATGGCTCACACCTGTAATCCTAGCTACTCAGGAGGCTGAGATCTGAGGATTACGGTTCAAAGCCAGCCCAGGCAGGAAAGACTCTTATCTCCAATAAACCACTAGAAAACCGGAAGTGGTGCTGTGGCTCAAGCCATAGAGAGCTCACCTTGAGCTGAAGAGCTGAGGGACAGCACCCAAGCCCAGAGTTCAAGCCCCATGACCAAAAAAAAAAAAAAAGCTTCCTCTGACTTTGTTCTCGGCAGCCCCTTGGTCGGAATAATGACAGAAACCAGACTGACCTCAGCCTGGTGAGCGATTGCCAAAGCCATAGTTATTGAGTACCAGCAACAGCCACTTACAACCTGGCTGTGACTTTTTTGCTAACAAGCCACTGTATAATAAAAATGGTCCTAACTTTGGTTGTGAGGGAGGGTTATTAATTGCTCCTGTGACAACCCTGCCCTTCTTTTTGTTTTCTGTAGCCTCTGAAATTCTTAAGTTGTTCCCAGAGAGAGGGAGGGTTCCAGGGAAACAAACTGGCTGGACTCATCCAGGCTGCCCAGCTCAATTGCAAAATCTAAAGGTCTCTTGTTATTGGCTAGCCTTTGGCTGTCATCCCTTTCTAAGAACCATTAGCCTGAGGCTAGGACTTCCTGCTGTCCATCTACACTAAGGCATTTGGAAGGCCCAGGAATGAGACTATGTAAGCTGGGGCCACCAGCTGCCACCCCCTGGGCTCCAGGGCAACACCACAGGACAGCATCTCTGCCCCAGTACAGGGCCCATCCTTCACTCTCAGAGAGGACTAATGGCCCACTCGTGGCAAGCACTAGAACCATAAAGCATGCTACCTCTGGAGATGCTGAGTTTCTGTGGGACCACTCTTCTAGACCTTCTTAGGTTCTCCTTATTGCCTTGTCTGGGAAAACCCACAACATAGCAGGTGGGCTCTGAATGGCTTCGGTGGATCTTTGTCAAAGGACAGTTGTGTTCAGGGCCTTTTCAAACAACCTGGGCACCAGGTCAGGATGCACTTTCAACCTCAAGCTGGAAGGACGTGGGTGTTGAGAACTTCCAAAATTAGTGGCGTAGTCCTGGCTGTGCATTAGCATCATCTGCTGAACTTTGAAAAACAACAGATGCCTGGGGCCCACCTCAAACCAGTTTAATCTGCATTTCCGAAGTGGAGCTTAGAGCACCAACATTTCCCCAGCTCCCCTGGGGAGCTGCCTGCAAATAGTTTGGGCCTGCAAATAGATTGGCCAATGATCTTGGACAAATGACACTTCCTAGCCTTCTTGACAATTCCTGTCACTCCATGAATAGGAGGGAGGGAGAGCCACCTGCTGGGACTGGGCACCTGATTGGAGAATAGGAGGGTGATTGACAGGTCACTGAACATTTAGTCTCCTGGTCAGTGCTGTAGACTTGTTTAACCCCAGTCTTCTATGGTGAGAGATCAGAATTGTAGAAAAAAAAAAAAGTTAGTGTGAACCAGAAGTTTCAGATTTACAGTTCTTGATAGATACTTCTAGAAGTGACAAGGATTTGGTTTTCAGTGACAGTGAAGGAAGTATCCATTTGATGGAGGGGTTGATGGCATTGAATAACATATGAATTAATTGTAGATCAGAAAACAAAGCCAAGCATCATATCTCAACTGCTCTCACTGAGTCCAGACATCATTAATCTGAGACCAGATCCTTGAATAGACACAAAGCCAAAAAAAAAAAAAAAAAAAAAACCCAGAGAGGGCAAAGAAGAATAAGGACTGGGCATTTTGTTTTATTTGGGTAAAAGGAACTTAGGAAGTTGTTCACAAAATGATACTGTGCATCGTAAGTGGGAAATGCCAAAGCATTGCAAGCAATTATTCTGGGCAATATTCTTTTACTCATTGGACCTCACTCTCCTGGTATTATTTATAAATGGGTACAAGTATGCCATCTCTGTCCCCAGGGAGTAGTTAAAAGAAGGCCCAGTGAAGAATGTATTTCATTTATTCAATCAGTTATTCATTTGTAGTTATTTTCCAGTATTAGATGGAACACAGGGCCTTGTACATGCTAGGCAAGTGTTCCCCCACTGATCTATGTACCCACTCCTCCAGCCCCACTTGAGTGTGTGACAGGAGGGCAGACAAGACTGTATCTCCCCACTGGGATGCTGGATTGATGCTGACAAGGCAGGGTTCGAAGGAAATCTAGAAATCCCCACTGAAGCTCTTTGGGAAAGCTCATGACTGATAGGTAAGAAAACATTCCATCCCACCCCATATAAATTAAATCCTTGCAGTCTTTCCTTGGAGAAAATGCACAGTGATTTGGCGGTCACTCACTGTTATTTTCATTCCTGTATGATAAACATAGAACTTTCCAGCCTGTGATCTATATTTAGTGGTCACAGTATTTAGCCACAACTGGCTGGGAATGTGGCTTTGTTAGTAGAGTGCTTGCCTACCATGCATGAAGCCCTGGGTTTGATTCCTTAATGCCACATAAACAGAAAAAGCCGGAAGTGCTGCTATGGCTCAGGGACAGTGCCCAGGCCCAGAGTTCAAGCCCCAAGACCAGCAAAAAGAAAAAGAATTTAGCTACAACTGTCACAGCCTCTCCTCCCTCTCCACCCAGCCCAATGCACAGTGCCCTTACCGCTGCCTGAGCTTACTCAAGTTGGCTTTTAGAATCCCCTGCTTCTCATTAAAGCTAAGTGGATCAGAGCTAGCCAAAACCAGCATCCCTTCCAGAGAATCTACATCTTCCTATTGTGGTCCATGAGATCGTTTATAGTTATCAGGAAAAGAGTATGTTGGGTGTTCTCACACCCAGCTCCTACACAAAGTTGTATTCAGAGCAATGATAAAAAGTTTCTCTTGGGAGCTCTGATGGGCCCACTGCCCATCACTCTTCCCCTTCTGGCAGGAAGCAGGCCTGACACATTTCTGCCTGGGGAGCTCCTAGCTTAATGCAGGGCAGGAGGAGGGGGACCTCTACCCTCAGAGCATCTGCCTGGGTGCTTTCTGCCCAATGCCAGCTCACCCAGACTGGAGCCTCTGGTGACACTTTTACTATTGCTGCCTGTAAATTATTTACTTTGTGTTTAAAATCAATACAGCTAATCCTTTTTTTTTGCCAATATTGAAGCTTGAAGTTGGCCTGGGCACTGCCCTAATCTTTTTTGCTCAAAGTTGTGCTGTACCACTTGAGTCACAGCTCCACTTCTGGCTTTTTGGTAGTTAATTGGCGTTAAGAGTCATATGGACTTTCCTGCCTGGGTTGACTTCAAACCAGGATCCTCAGATCTCAGCTTCTGAGGAGTAGGATTACAGGCCTGAGCTACCAACATCTGGCTTTGTCTCTTAGCTTTCTTGCTCAAAGATAGTGCTCTACCACTTGAGCCATACTTTGACTTCTGGCTTTTTGCTGGTTAATTGGAGATAAGCATCTCAGACTGCCTGGGCATACTTTGAAGCTTGAGCCTCAGATTTCAGTCTTCTGAATATATATCCAGTCTTATCGTAGGCCAGCTACTGTGAAATTCTGATTTGGGGATGCAGGCAGATCTTGTCACTGTAATGTACATTAAACTATGCACAAAATTGATAGAATGTTTTTAAAGTCCTTAGAGAGCAATTCTAAACTCTTTGGCAGCCCCAAAGGAGAAGCTTCATCCTGAATTATTTTGTACACCTTCTGTATAGAAGAGTTACTCCCATTTCTGCTTGGGATACTCTTGCATATAACACTGGGATTCAAACCCACAGCCAAGCATTCCAAAGCCACACTCCTGACTCCCTGTGAGGGAGCCAAAGCATGGTCATGGCCGGCCCTCACTCTAGCCCTCTTTCCTCCCGCAGTCCACACTGGGCTTCATGGCCCTGGTGCTGAGCACACTGCACACGCTCACCTACGGCTGGACCCGTGCCTTCGAGGAGAGCCGCTACAAGTTCTATCTGCCACCTACCTTCACACTCACGCTGCTGGTGCCCTGTGTGGTCATTCTGGCCAAGGGCCTGTTCCTCCTGCCCTGCTTCAGCCGCAGACTCGCCAAGATCCGGAGGGGCTGGGAGAAGGATGGCACTGTCAAGTTCACGCTGCCGACAGACCCCATGTTGCTAGAGAAAACAAGCCATGTGTGAGGTGTCTGGGCCTGCACCAAATACCAAGCCCGGATGGTCAGTGGACTCCTGAATGATCCAGTGCAGAGTAATGGTAATGTAAGGTTGGAATGCCTGGAATGAACATTATGCAGTATTCAGAATGACACACTCATACGTGTGACATACATGTACATACATTTCATACCTATACATAAAACAGGATTTGCGATTATACTTCCTTATCTAAAAAGTTAGGGCCTTGAGATGTCAACTTGTAGACTTAGAAGCCAGTGCCAGATGTTAAAGGAGCAGACCATGCACTCCTAAAATTTACACAGACTTTGTCCAGAAACTTATCCTTTGGAGGCTTCCATCCTGTATTCCTCTTCTCTTGTACCCATTAGCTACACCCCAAAGAAAGTACAGAGCTGGGACTCTGAAGTGGTTGGAATGTCCACATCTCTAGCTATACCTGAGAGCTCAGAGAGTCTGGGGTGCAAGGGGTGCAAGTCTGTTTCTCCCTTTAGCCTTTGGCAGCAGAAGTGAGCTGCTCAGACTGGAACCCAGGGCAGGGATGGAGGCTGGAGCTTGTACTAGAGCCATGAATATTCAGTTCTCTGTCCTATAGGGTGGGCAGGGGACTGAAGCAGCTCCACTTGATCCTCATTCAGCTGAGGACGTGGTTTTTTTTTTAGTCCCCCCCCACCCCGAAAGTGTGGAGTTACCACAGAGCCTGTAAATTGACCCTTTTGCAAGGGTGTGAAGTCAGTGTGAAGACACCTCTGCGCTGCAGCCACTAACGAACCCCATCTCAGAACAAGCGTAATTGCTTTCTCTCCATTAAGTTGGCAGTGACCGTTCTTTAAACCGCTGTGCCTTCTCGCCTTTTCCACCATTAATTTAGCCATCTCCTCAGAAGGCCTGCAGTAGACCCCTGACAGGTCCCAGGGCAAGGGAGATGTCAGGTTGAGTGATACTATTGCTAGACCCTCTTGGACCTGCCCCACTGGCTGAGGGGCTGCTATCATTCATTTGGGCCTGTGGGAAAATAATAGGGACCCCCCCCCTTCAAATGGCCTTTGCTGCCTCTTGTCAGAGCACTCAGAAAACCATACTAGCTCCAAGTTCCACCTTGTGAGGTTTAGCAGTCACCCATCCACATCTCACCTCCCTTGGCTTCAGTTACCCACAGTCAACTGTGGTCTGAAAATATTAGCATTCATGTTGATTCTTGAGGGAGGGACTACATTCACAAACATTATTATTGTATATTGCCATAATGGTTTGATTGTGTTCTGTTGTTTTTCCTCTTCCTGCGCCTAAGTTATTGGTTAGACCTCATCATGAAGTTTTATGTATAGGATCGCCTACCATCAGGTTCAGGCATCACTGGGGTCTTGGAATGTACCTCTAGTGGAGAAAGGAGAAACTACCACATTATACGTTTAAAGCATCTGGAAAGGACTAAACACCAGTATCCCAGACTACAACCAGGCTCTTCCAGTATCTATTTACCAGTCCTCTGCCCTCCATCTGCCACTGATTCAGACTCAAACAAGTTTTCTTCCCCTGGAGAGAAACAGCTAGTCTCCAAATTCCCCAAATTTTGACTGAGCCAACGATCAGCCACCAAAAACCCACTCAACAAAAAGGTCCTCCTGTGCCCGGAAGCATCTTTTCAAAGTAGGACTGGGGACGGGTAACTGGAGTGTATAAGATGGGGTGCCCCTGCTGCCCAGTTCACGTTAGCATCCTTCAGTGAGAAGGACACACAGGACCACCCAGGCAAGAGCCTGTTCCTCTGGTGAGGTTCAGGGCTGGTTGGGGTGGGGGGCGGGGGTGAGTGGACAGGCTGCTTCCAGCAGCAGGTGCTTCTAGCTGCTGTTCTAGGCTGGGAGACAGAACTTGTGCCATCAATTGGACCTGATAGAACAACAACACTGCCCACAGAGAAGCTCCCTGCACAGGGGTTGAGCAAATCAGAGGTTAGCACATGCTTGCATTGCGCAGGCCTGTGGAGTCCCTGCTAATGGGAAGCAGGAAGAATACAAGCAGTGGAAATCCCCAGTTCCTCCCCAGTAAGTGTGGACTACTTCCTTTTTCAGTTCTTCCTTTTTCCCCAGCGGGGGTTGGGGATGGTTGCTCATACCAAAGACACTGACACAGGGCCTAATCTAAGCTGTTCCTGACCCTACCTGCCTTCTGCTGAAGGTGTAGATCAGGAGAAAAGATTTCAAGTGAGTGGCAGGAGGTAAGAGGTGGGGCAGAGGACCTGTCACCTGTTCTCCTGGACAGAACAGTCAGCTATGCGCCATGTGCTCGGCCCTGACCTTGTGTCCAAATCTTGCCAAGCAGCTGGCCATAGCATCCCCAAGAGAGTAAGTTAGTCCCTGAGCTCAGTTAAATCTATGTGCCTCTGGTACAGAAGTGCCTCAACCATGTGTTCTGGAACTCCCAAGGTTCCCATGTTAAATCTATGCCATTGACAGAGTGTATGCATTTTGTTTTTACTTTGTAGAGTTTGTCTAAGAAGCTGCAAAAATAAAGCACTTACCCTGTGAAATTCCAAGATATATTTTTGGCATGGGATCCCAAATGCGTTGGTTTGCTCCAGGGGGAGTACTAGATCGGCCTCTGATTGGCGCCTGTCCTCAGTGAGTCCTGATCCCTGGTGCATTCGGTGTTGGAGTAGCCAGTGTGAATGTGTCATATGTGCTAGAACCCACCACTTCGGAAAAGTAGCCATGTGGGCCAGTGACAGGCCAGAAAAGAAATGGGGGGGGGGCAGAAGCCAGTTGTGGTGAGATGAGATTGTGGATGAAACACCCCAGGCCATGGGATCAAAGACTAGCTTCTGGGAGAGGTTGGAGAGTTATAAGAGCAGCAGAGAAAAGAGGAGGTTGGGATCTGGGAATGCAGTAGTTAAAATTAATTACTGGAAAAGTGAGCCAGGGAAGTATGCTAATTAATGTTTTGGGGTTTAGGTTTTTTAAACCCTTGAAGACAGGTACCAGTGGCTCTCACCGGTAATCCTAGCAACTCAGGAGAACGAGATCTGAGGATTGTGGTCCAAAGCCAACTTAAGCGGGAAAGTTCATGAGACTGTTACCTCCAGTTCACCACTAAAAAATTAGAAGTGTAGCTGATGGCATCCAGGGCCTAAACCCAAGACCCACTACTGGCATGCATGTGCACACACACACAAGCGCACACACACACATACACACACACACACACACACATATAGATTATAACATTTTTCTTAAGAGAAATACATCTAATTGAAAGTATACAAAGTTGATTTTGTTCATTGAAATTTCATTTCTCCCTGACAAATTTCTGTAGTAATTCCATATGTCTGTATTGGTCATTTGATCTCTTTGGCTCAGTTTGGTCATCCATAAATACTCAAAAAATGCTTTGGTGGTTGTTCTCTCTATTCAGAAATGAACAGTGACAAATGGAGACTTCAGTGCACTGGCCAACACCCCACCATACCCCACAGCTCTTTGGTAAGGTGAAGAGCCAGCCTCTGTTTGCTGCGTGCTGATGTCATTATTGGAACAGGAATCTGGCTTATTTCTGTAACCCCTGTCACAGGCAGAGCGTACTCTTAAAGAGGTAACTTGAGGCAACAGTGAAAACTTTTCCCCGATCAGAAATTAACAGGGCCTTAAAGCTTTCCTGAGGGACATCCTGCTACAAAACAAGTAGTTCCTGGACAAAATCCATACTTTTACAGAATTGCCCAACTCAGGAGGCAGGAAAACTACCAGGGCAGAAAATAAATGGGACACACAAACAAACAAACGGAGCACTCTGGTTCTTGGCAATCGCAGATTCAAGTCTTTGTGGTGGGGGTGGGTGGAGGGGCATGCCAGCTCATAGCAACTCAATAGGAGTTTAGTCTCTGACCAACAAACCATGAGAAATACCACGTGAACTTGAAAGAGTGGATTTTTCTTTTAGAAAATATAGATTGTAGCATATAATAATTATATAAAATTTCTAAAAAATTAGTCCCAAAAATAAGAACGCAAATACACACTATGAAAGACTAGACATGATGAAAAATAAACTTAAATTGAACAGTTGAGCCAGCTGAACATTGAACCAGACACTGATAATCCTGTCTGTTCAGAAGGTGGAGATTAGGAGGGTTGATTGGAAAACAGTCTGAGCAAGAGGTTATTGAAAACTAGTACTGAAAACAAGAAGTTATTGAAAACTAGTTATTAGGTTATTAAAACTAGTATTGAACACATATAAAACTAGTATTCAGGTATAGTGGTACATGCCTGTCATCTCTGCTGCATAAAAGGCTGAGATCAGAAGGAGGATTGTGAATGTAGCATAGGCAAAAAGAAAAGTTGGAGAGACCCCATCTTATCAGAGAAAGCTTGGCTTGGTGCTATGTGCTTGTCATTCTAGCTGTGGCAGGAAACATAAATAGGATCATGGTTCAGGCCAGTTTGAGCAAAAAATGAGAATCTCAAAAATAACCAGAGCAGGGCTAGGAATGTGGCTTAATGGTAGAGTGCTTGCCTAGCATGCCATGAAGCCCTGGGTTTGATTCCTCAGTACCACATACACAGAAAAAGCCTGAAGTATCTCTGTGGCTCAAGTGGTAGAGAGCTAGCCTTGAGCAAAAAGAAGCGCAGGACAGTGATCAGGCCCTGAGTTCAAGCCCCAGGACTAGCCAAAAAATTAACTAGAGCAAAAATGGGTTGAAGAGTTAGGTGCTGGTGACTCATGAGTGTAATAGTAGCTACTTAAGAAGCTGAGATCTGAGGATTATGTTTCAAAGCCAGCCCAAGCAGGACTGTCCATAAGACTCTTGTCTCCAACTGCTGAAATGGTGCTGTGGCTCAAGTTTGAGCACTTGCCTTGAGAACAGAAAGCTCAGAGGCAGTGTCCAAGCCCTGAGTTCAAGCCCCAGGAGACCGGCACATGCACGCGCGCGTGCGCACACACATACACACACACACACACACACACACACAAGGGCTGAAGTTGTAGCTCCAGTGATAGCATACCTGCCTAGCAAGCCCTAAGCCTTGAGTTCAGATCCCAATTATGCCTCCTCTAAAAAAAATCAAAGAAATGAAAAATGGTTGCAAAAATTCTTTTTGAGCTTATCAACAGACTGGAGGAAATTAGTGAATTTTAAAATGCAGTTGAATTGCTTAGAATGAAAAAAAAAGACAAATGAGTAGAAAATATAAAGGAAAGGTTAAAGGAGAAACAAGTTAAGACAAAATCTATGATACCAATAACTACAGTTCCAGGAAATAGTGGCAGAGAGGCAAATGTTTCAGAGGTAAAAACTGAGCGTTTTCTTCAGGCCAATGAAAGACAGGAACAAAAAATAAAATAAAAATCTGAAACCAGGGGCTGGGAAGGTGGCTCAGTGGTAGAGCACTTGCCTTGCAAGCCTGAGGCCCTGGGTTCGATTCCTCAGCACCACATACACAAAAAGAAAAAAGCCGGAAATGGCGGTGTGGCTCAGCCTTGCGCTGAAGAGCTGAGGAACAGCGCCCAGGCCCAGAGTTCAGGCCCCACGACCGGACCCAAGAAAACAAACAAACCTGAAATCATAGCCAGACACTAGTGGCTCACACCTGTAGTCCTAGCTACTCTGAAGGCTGAGATCTGAGGATTGTGGATGGAAGCCAAATAAGAAAGTCCATGAGACTCTTATCTCCAATTAACCACCAGAAAACTAGAAGGGAGCTGTGGCTCAAAGTTGTAGAGTGCTAGCATTGAGCAGAAACTTGGAGGCAGCAAGCACCCAGACCCCAAGTTCAAGCCCCACAACTGATAAAAAAAAAAAATCAAAAATCATAATGCTACCACCAGATAAGAAAGCAACTCTTGGCTAGGAAGGTGGCTCAGTGGTAGAGCGCTTGCCTTGCATGCCTGAGGCCCTGGGTTCGATTCCTCAGCACCACATAAGCAAAAAGAAAAAAGCTGGAAGTGGCGCTGTGACTCAAGTGGTAGAGCACTAGCCTTGAGCTGAAGAGCTGAGGGACACCGCCCAGGCCCAGAGTTCAGGCCCCACAACTGTCAAAAAAGAAAAAGAAAAAGGAAAAGAAGAAAGCAACTTAAAAGTAAAGCCACACTTAGGCTCACTAAGAAGATCTTTAGAGCAACCAGTTTAAAAAATAAAAAATGGAAAAGATCACCCACAATTGTGAAATTAAAATAATATAGCAGACTTCCTAACAATAGGAATAAAAATTATAGTGACATAGTATCTTAAAAATGCAGAGAAGATGTGAATGGCAGCTTAGAATCATAAATTCTGCAATTTCTTTTCCTGCTTTTCAAAAGAGAAGGCAAAGTAAGGATGTTACAAACAAACAAAAAATGAGGGATCTGAAAAAAGGAGAAGACGAGGAGCAAGGATATCTTAGCAACCCTGGCCTGCACAGAATAATCATGTCCACGCATACAAGGGGTTTGCTTTATTACCGTTTATTTATTTTTCAGTGCTAGGGATCAAACTCCAGACCTTATGTATGCTGGTCAAACTGTCTTTTACTGAGCCACACTTCCTTCCACCCCCAGCCCGTGTGTGTGTGTGTGTTTGTGTGTGTGTGTGTGTGTGTATGTGTGTGTTTAAAAACACACTAAAAACCATGTAGTTAGTTGACTAAGGAAATAAGTTAAAATGTTCTAATATCCTTATGTTTGCCTAGGAATGGGACTAAATGTGGACTCATTGAACTAAGTTAAATAGTCCCAGAAAAATGTGAAGGGTAACCAGCAAAAAACTGAAATTACACATATAGCATCTAAACATTGGGGCAGAAGAAATAAAGTAAGGCAAAAATTTCAGAGTTTTTGTTTGGGGTGGGAGTGTGGGGGTGGGTGGGGGTACACACACACACACACACACACACACACACACACACACGAGCGCACACACATGTGCCAGTACTATACTGATGCTTGAACTCGGCCCCATGCTCTTCCTTAGCTTTTCACACCATGTGGTACCTTACTACTTGAGCCACACATCCAACTCCAGCTTTGTGGTGGTTATTTGGAGATAAATGTCTCATGACTTTTCCTGTTTGAGGTTGACTTTGAATCACAATCCTCAGATCTCAGCCTCCTGGGTACCTAAAAGTACAGGAGTGAGCCACCAATGCTTTAAATTTTAGTTTTTAAAAGCAAGAAATGAGCTGGGCACCAGTGGCTCACACCTGTAATCCTAATAATCTGGAGGCTGAGATCTGAGTGACTAAGGTTTGAAGCCATCCTGGGCAGAAAGGTCTATGAGACTTCATATCCAATTAACCACCAAAATGCTGGGTGGGATGCAGGTGCTCATGGCTTATACCTATAATCCTAGTTGAGATCTGATGATCATGATTAGAAGCCAACCCTAAAAGGACAGTGCAGCAGATTCATCTTCAATTAACCATCAGAAAGTGGTTAGTGCAGAAAGTGGAAGTGCAGCAATGACTCAAGTAATAGAGCTTCAGCCTTGAGCAAAAAAGCTATAGGATAGCTCCCAGACCCTGAGTTTAAGTTTGGTATCCCAATAGGGATACC